AAGGGGGAAGGGGGAAGGGGGAGGCCGCATCTTAAAAACCATTTCCCAGGTCAGGGGAGTCATGCTGAAGTGAGAAATTCATTTTCTTTTAATTGCTAATTCCAGAGAGGAGGAATCCAGCCCCCAGGTAATGTCTGGCATGCGCTCTTCAGATTTGTTCATCAGCCACCCGGTTCCTTCTCCATCTCAGCCTCAGGTTCTGTGTACTGGATGCACATGAACATCTAAACCCATGGCTGGACCGTACTTTTCTTAGGGCAACCAAGGTGGCATGTACGTATTGTGCAAAATTCTGTGTTCCCAGAACTATTCACTGGGCAAGGAGTTAACCAAACTTGAAATTGGAAAGACCCAAGATTAGGCCCAGTTTCAGCCTTGTGGTTTACAGTCAAGCTCAAGATGGCAGGGCTTAGAGATGATCAGGTTGCCCTTAGATCTGGGGACTAAGCAAAGGAAAAGTTTGCTCCGCCCAGCCCTGAAAACGCCAATGCCGTTGTTGATCTCCTGCTACTCATGTTGCCGCAGGCATCTTGGCAGAAAGAGACAGATGTTGGCTATCTTGATATCAACACCGCTGCAGAGCAATTTTAAGGGGCGCAACAGGTCAGCGCGGTTATCCGTGGATGGGAGACCAAAAGGAAATCTCAGAGTAGCTTAGAGTGGGAAGGAAAAAACACATCCTAGAAAACAGAAACTTTACTAAGCCTTGAAGTAGTTTGATCTGGATTTTTTGGTTTAATGGAATTCTTTTTTTTTATCTTGCTCACTGCCCAGACTTTCTCGCGTAGATGGGAGGCTATATAAATTGGATTAATAAATAAAATAAACCAAGCCATGGTAAGTGAGCTCCATGGCCTGTCATCTAGCTCTACTTGAGGGATATTTTGTTTTTAATGATTGGCAAAGCCCAACAATGAAATAATTGGCTGTTGGAGGCAACTGGTTTTTTAAAAGATGCTGTGTTTGGCTGACTTTACTCTTCTCCCGAACATCTTTTTAGTGATGCTTTTCCTGTTTTGTTCATGAAAATCCTGCCAGTTTGCCTTCAAAGCCTCCTTCCCGTCCTTTCGTCTTCCTCCCCACACCCTCTTGAAAGCCCTGGCTCTCCATTCAGTTCTCCCCAGCATCCAAGTCACCATTCCCACACGCAGACCATGGCTCCCTTTGCCCACCTCGTTTTATTCACTCTGCTTTGCTATAGAAAAAGGGCAACTTGAATCTGTCCTGAGCTGGGCTGGACTCTGGGCGACTTTGTGGCCAAGGCCATGCACGTTACCTGGCACCAGAGGGCAAGAGGTGGGCTGGTGCCTCCTCTGGACTACAGCCCTGGGATTTTCAATGGTCTCTTCCCTCCCCACCCCCCAAGGACTAACTAAGCCTGACCTTGCTTAGCTTCGGTGTCCTGGTAAAGTCAGGCAGATCCTTTAGACCAGTGTTTCTCAACCTGGGCAACTTTAAGATGAGTGGACTTCAACTCCCAGAATTCCCCACTGGGAGCTGAAGTCCACTCATCTTAAAGTTGCCCAGGCTGAGAAACACTGCACTAGACCCTGTTGAAGTACACAGTTCCCTGCAATGCACAATTACGTATTCTGGGTGTTCTGGTATCTGCTCAGTTTTACATATTTGCTACTTTACACATAGAGGATCTATCAGGGGAACTGGGTCAAACAAGTCAAGATGGTGGCTGGACCGTGCAGTGAAAGCCCTGCCTCTTTTTAAGGTGTGATGCCCATAAAAAAGGGTTGGGACTTCAATGGCCATCGCCCTGACTTTTCTGACCCCCTCCCCTGGATACTCCTCTTTGCAGGCTGCTCCATTTCCATTTCCATGTGAGCTCCTTTGCTGACTAAATAAGATGCCCCCATCTTTCCCCTTCCTCTGCTGATGCATTTCTGCCTGCCCGCCTGCCAGCCTGCCTTCCCCCCCTTCCTTCCTTCCTTCCTTCCTTCCTTCCTTCCTTCCTTCCTTCCTTCCTTCCTTCCTTCCTGACGAATATTCCAAATCCGCACAGAGCAGCTGAGCCAGCTGTTGGAGGAAATTAAAGGCAAAAGGTTTGAAAACTCCCTGCTTATGGTCTTGAGCTGGGGTTCCCCAGGCTTAGCCCTGCACCCAAGGTGGGCAGGGTGCCCTCTGGTTCCCCAGGTTTCATCCAGAGTCTCCCTCTCTTGCTTTGCTCCTGAGTTGTGGGTTCTTTAATTTTGTCTTGCCCCCATCCCTTTCCATCAGACATTCTTGCAGAAAGGTGCGTGTTATTTTCACTAAATTTCTCTGTGCCGCTGTGCTAAAGGTCATTTCCCTTTTAAAAATTCTCAATTTTTAACCTTTTTTCGCATGACTGATTCTAGTTCCCCCAGTGCATGGTTTAAACCCCCTTTTATTCCTCTCTCAAAGAAACGCCTGCCTTTGCAACCTCAAGGGCGGTGACTGAGTTCCTCCTTTTGGAAATGGCCGTTCTCGGCAAGGGCCGCGGACGAGCCTCCCAAGACCCTACTTCCGCGGTCCAAGGTTGCAACGGCCTGCCTTCTCTCTCTCCGCCCAGAGTTCTTTGACATTGGGGGCAACAAATGCGACCGCCTGTTTTCCCTGGTTGATCTGGACGGATGTGCTACCGCCATGGACTACTGGTAGGTCAAATGTGGCTGCGTCTGCGGGCAGTCGCTTGAGAACCCCCAAGGGCTAAATTAAATGCAGCGTCCCTGTTTTAATGGTGACCCAGTGCAGGCCTCCCTTTAATGTGCTCCTCTGAAGGCCTGCCTATCTGGAACTCAGGGTGGGTCCTCTCCTCGCCATTGTGTCTGCCCGACAGTCCTGTCCTGGGGTTCTGGGAGTTGAAGTCCACCCATCTTCAAGTGGCCAAGGTTGAGAAACACTGGACTAGACGTTGCCTGAGGTCCCTTCTAGGATTCAGTGATTGAGGTTCAAGGATGAAGATCTTCCTCAGCCTGCAAACCAGCAGCTGATCTCTGTCGTGCCTGGCCAGGCTCTGTGCCCATAGCAGAATCTCTCTCCTGCCTTCCTTTTCCAACTAGGACAGATGGATGCAAAGCGGTGTTCTGCGTGGGAGACCTGAAGGGGAATGTCCTGATCTTCACCTCCGCGGATGTCATCGCGAATGGCCTTTTCAACATCCGCAGCTACATAGGTGAGCTGATGGCTGGCAGGGCCAGGAAAGCAGGAAGTGGGCTGGGTGTGTCGGGGGGTTCCGGCAGGGTGATGCCTGCCTGCCCGCCCACCCCACGAGGGAGACCAGACCAGGACATCAGCTCCACAGGGAGGCTAAAACTACTTTTATTGAAACGGGCAATAATGACAGAATCTTGCAAATCTGATGGTGCTGTGCCTCCTTCCCCTTCTTATACTCCAGTGAATTAGGGGGGTGTCTGCCTGATCTTCTTTCAAATGGTATCTTGGGGCTCTGGTCTTAAAAGAGGCTTCAGCCGCTTTTGCCTAGGGTTCTTGCCTATTTCTCTGAAGGTCCTCTCCCCTACGCTCCACCATCCCGTTCCTTT